CAAAATCATGAAAGTTATATTCATACATTCGCAGTGAACATGTTTGTAGTTATTCACTTTTTCCAGTAGTTGTCCAGAACATGTGATCACTTTCCAGTTCGGGCTCAAAATCTATCGCTTTGAGGCACGACATAACATAGCGCATCCTTTTGTTGCTTTTTTCTCATCTTTTGGAGAGGAATGTTAGATGCAGTGCATTACTTTTGCAGTTCCAAAGATTTACAACTCACTCATTAATGAATTTCACGCTCTGAAGAGTCGTTGCTCCTGAGAATGCGAGTTAAAATCACTCGAACAACAAAAGTAATGCAATACATCTAACATTTCTTTCCGAAAGATGAAAAAAAAGGGAAAGGGTTTCTGGATCACTAGCAGGCCGGTCACTAAGTGAGCTATTTCCGGACGGTAACTGTGTCGGACACTGCAGGTTACACTCGTCATGAAAAAGTGCACTACTGTAAAATAGCGAGTGGTCGCAGTATAAGTGGTAAAGCGTCGGGCCCAGTTTGCTGATATTTTGTTACAGAGATGCGGCAAATGAGCAAGTTTAGCTCCATGCTGGTGATCGCTTGAGAAGCAAGCTGAATTTTTAGTTCGAATCTCAAGCACTTCACAGCGCTCAATTCAACACAGAAGCAAAGCGGTGCCGGAAATTCTAAAGTGTAGAACGTGTTTTAGGTACTGAAAATTGGGATGTGATCTTACGGCACCTCTGCGCCGAATATTGTCGTATTCCTGCCTCGTAATTCGCGTTGTAAGGGAAGAAGTTTTTTTTTTTTTCTGCTGGCACGGAGACAGATCCCAGCAAATAAATTATGCATTTATCACATTCTGGTACAGCTGTTGCATAAGTAATAAATCACTTTACGGCGCATTCCGTTACGCGCCAATTATCGACAATCTTGTCGGGTGAAAGCGAGCAGAGGTTCGATGAGTGTTCGCTTTAATTTGAAATAATTATTAATATTTCAAACAAATTTAAATGACTGCGCAACTCGCAAATTCCACG